TATTAAAGTAGGAACAGAATAAAATTGAAAGTAAATATATATTAATAAAAATTTTTAAAGTAGGCAAAGGACTTGATCAAACGTAACACAAAATAAGATATACAAATGACCCCAAAAAAAGCACAAGAAAAGTACTTAATATGCCTAGTCTTTAGGGCATTAAAAAGATTGCCAACACCAGGTGTTATCAAGAATATAATGCAACTGGTACTCTTAGATTGCTTGTGGGTTGTAAGATGGTACAAGTACTGTGGGAAGGTATTTTTCAGTTTCTAAAAAAAATTAAACATAATTCTACCCAATGACCCAACAATTTCATCTCTAGGTAATTATCCAAGAGAAATGAAAACATGTCCACAAAAATACACACAACAATGATCATAGCAGCTTTACCCATAAGAGTTCAAAACTGGAAACAGTCTAGGTACCCATCAACAGATGAATGAATATACACATCATGATGGTGTTTTCATAAAATGGAACAGTACTTGGGAAAAAAATAAACTACTTATATACACATCAACCTAGATGAATCTCAAAAACATTATGTTGAATGAAAAAAGCCCGACACCAAAGAATACTTACTATAGGAACCCACTTATACGATATACCAAAACAGCTAATCAATAGAGAGAGAAATCAGGGGAATGCTTTCTATGGGGGAGAGGGGGTAAACTGTAACTGGAAAACTGCACAAGGGAACTTTTTATTTCTTTACTGATTAAGGTATTACATATGTGTCCTTATCGTCCCATTGCCCCCTGCCCCCACTGTCCCCCACTCATGCCCTCACTTCCCTGGTGTCTGTGTCCATTGGTTAGGCCTATATGCATGCATACAAGTCCTTTGGTTATCGCTGTCCCTTACCCCCACCCTCCCCTACCTTCCCTCTGAGGTTTGATGGTCTGTTGGATGCTTCTCTGTCTCTAGAGCTGTTTTTATTTATCAGTTTATGTTGTTCATTATATTCCACAAATGAGTGAGATCATGTGATATTTATCTTTCTCTGACTGGCTTATTTCGCTTAGCATAATGCTCTCCAGGTCCATCTATACTGTTGCAAATGGTAAGAATTCCTTCTTTTTTACCACAGCATAGTATTCCATTGTATAGATATACCACAGTTTTCTAATCCACTCATTTGCTGATGGGCACTTAAGCTGTTTCCAAATCTTAGCTATGGTAAATTGTGCTGCTATGAACATAGGGGTGCATATATCCTTTCTGATTGGTGTTTCTGGTTTCTTAGGGTATATTCCTAGAAGTGGGATCACTGGGTCAAATGGAATTTTTGGGATTGATGGATATATTCTCTATTCTATTAGGGTATTAGTTACACAGGCTTATATATTTTCAAAATGTATCAAACTACACAGTTAAAATATGTGTGTTTCATTATGTGTAAATCTTACCTCATTAAAAATTTTTCTATGGTATTTTTATTTCTTAGATATATTTAAAGAAGTGATCTATCAACAGTTTTGTTTTTAAAATGTCAAAATTCACAGTATAAAGTAAATTTCAACCTTATAACTCTTTAAATATAGGATTAAAAGTTTATGTATGTTATGAAAATGTTAAGTATCAACCTGATATGAGAGAAAGGACAAAGTTTTTTAATATTCTTGGATATATGTAAGCAAAAGGTTTACAACCATTTCTCACACATGCTATTTTGTAACCTGACTTTTTGATGTAGGCATATAGAAATTTGATTTTGACTTGAAAGAGCAAGAAAGATTTCATGAAGCAGTTTGCTCTAATGCATTCATGAAAGATGGGAATACAATAGGCAAAGATGTGATGGATACAAGGGTGGACTGACAAACATAGTACAACTAAAGGTAAGGCAGGAATGTTCAGGTTTTGTTTGCAAATTGTCAGGTAAGTATAAAATGGCTAACGTTTAGGGTCTCCAAAGTCATACCATGAGATGAAATAGACTGTGGCCATATTGCAAGTATCTTTGTATGATACATATGAAGTTTGTAATTTATACTAGACCATGGGAAGGTTCTGAAGTTTTTTAGCAGTTAAATGCCATGTTCAAACCTGTGTTTATGATACATCAGCATGTCAGAATGGTAGAAAGAAAAAACAATTGGAATGGAATCAAAAGATCTTGGTTGAAGGCCTAGCTTTGTCATAGACTATGTAACCTTATAAAGTTCCTATAGCCTTTATTTTGTTCATTCAAGTATTGAAAGGTTGAATTAGATAATCTCTAAAATCCTTCCAAATATTTGAGAACATGTGAGATGGAATTTGTAGCAATGAGAATAGGAAGAATGACCCTGCAATAAAATTAGGAAGAGGTCATAAAAGCCAGAACCTGGGAGGTATAAAAGGCAATGGAAAAAGAAATTTGAATATGAGAGAATATCTAATGCAGGGCAAAGGGAGCCACAAATGCTTATGCGTTTTTAAATCTAAGGAACTACGACTTGCTGTGGGCCCTTTAGTCTGAGTTCTATTACTTGCATGTTTAGTGCTGAAAGCTATATAAACACATCTTCTGATAAGTGATAACCCAGTTGATATTAAACTTAGAAGTAATAACACCATTTAATTTTTAAAAATAGTTGAGTTTGTTTAAATTTTATTTTTAAAATACCTTTTAAAATAGGAAGCTGACGATAAGCTGCAAGTTTGGGCTGAAATACATTCTCCATTAGAACTCGTTCCATAAAAAATAAGTCCTGGTGAAACTTTTCGGATTTGAATATTGCTTCTGAGTGGTCTTCTTCTTCATCATGCATTTTAGCCAGAATTGCATTTTCTATTTCCATTATAGAACTAGCGTCACTATCTGTAAAATGCAAACATAATGTAATGATAAAATAATCCAAATAATATTAGATGATTCATCCTAAATATTAAAAAATGACATTTTGTCATTACTATTTGTTTTCTTCCAGAATTCAACAACTTCAGGAGACATTTGTTGAATAACTTTTATGTACCGAGCACATGCAAGATATACATATATTATCTCACTTTGGAATTCTCAATCACTCAAAAGTATACTATCTTTCAAAAGATAAGCAATGATAACCTCATGAGGTAATTTTCATTCATGTCTATACATTTTTATTCCAATTAAAACAAGATAATCAGTCTTCAGATAAAGGTCCAATCTGATTGTTGCTTTATAGGAATATTATACTACTGCTGTGTTAATTTTTTATTGACGTTATAGTAAATTATCAAAAACTTAGTGGATTAAAAACATGCAAACTTAGAGTGCTGTAGGTTAGCGGTTTGGATGCAGCTCTCACTGAGCTAAAACCAATAAGTGAATAGGGTTTTGTCTCTTTCTGAAGAGTCTAGAGGAGAATTTGTTTCTTTGTCTTTTCCAGCTTTGGACCCACCCACACCCTTCCCCCATCTTCAAAGTCAGCAATATTACATCTCTCTGACCTTCTGTCGTTCCATCTCTCTCTGACCACAGCTAGGAAAGGTCCTCCACTTTAACATACATGAGATTAGATGGAGCCCACTCGGATAATGCAAGATCATCTTCTCCTTTGAAGACCTTTATTTAATCAGATCTGGAAAGTCTTTTCTGCCATGTAAGGTAAGGTATTTACACGTTCCAGGTATTGGGATGTACACATTTGGGGGGAAGTATTAGTCTGCCTAGCACACTATTTAGCAGACTTTTATTTTAAAAAACAAATAAAGGGAAATCCTGCTTCAATAAAGATGGCCCAGATATTTTTGCCTGTTCCTCCTGCTAAATGCAATTAAAAATCCTGGAATATCCTATATAATAAAAGGATAATATGCAAATAGACCAAATGGCAAAACAACTGAACAACCAATCAAAGTGTAATATGCTAATGATATGCTAAGGCTGCTCAACTGCTCACTATGATGTGCACTGACCACCAGGGGGCAGATGCTCCAACCGGTAGGTAAGCTTGCTGCTGGGGTCCAGCTGATTGGGACTGGGCGAGATGGGCCAGATATGCCCTGGAGCCCTTCCGCGATCCCTTCTCAGCCCAATTGTGCTTCAGTGGGGTCCCTCAGCCTGGCCTGTGCCCTCTCGCAATCCAGGACCCCTCAGGGGATGTTGGAGAGCCAGTTTTAGCCTGATCCTGCAGGCCACTCTCCTTGGGAGGGTGCCAGACGCAATGCTCATGGCTGGCGAGCGCTGCTGTGGCAGTGCGAGCCTCTCCCGATCAGGACTGGTTGGGCGTGAGCCTGCAGCAGGCACCGTGGGGCTGGGATGAGCGGGAGTGGCAGTTATGAACTACAGGTGGCGTTGGATTGTGGGTTTCGGCCCTATCCCTGCAGGCCACCCAGAGGGACCCCACCCGTGCACAAATTCATGCACCAGGCCTCTAGTATATATATAACATGAGAAGGCTTTAAAAGTCTTTGGAAGAGGAAGGTAGAGCACCTAGATAGAGTCCTCAGAATCCAAGGAATGACACCGTTGTGAATTCTCTGGGTTTTCTTATTGCCACATATATTCCAAACATAAAGCTGAAGAAGCCAGCAAATTTAATGAAATTGAATTGTAAATTCTATCTCCCCCCTCACTCCGCCCCCCCAAAAAAATCTCCAGCCACAGATGGTTTTACTGGAGAATTCCACCAGACAGTTAAAGAATTAACACCAATTCTACACAACCTCTTCCAGAAAATAGGAGGGAAAGGAAAATTTCTAATGCAACTTATGACATTAGGATTCAAAAAACAAGACAAAGAAAGTACAAAAGAAGATATAGACCAATATCCCTCATGAGCATAGGCACAAAAATACTTTTCATGTTCCATACAGAAAGAAAATATTATAACTGCTAAAAAAAAGAATTTATTAAAAATGTCATGTGAAAAACCTCATTCAAAAAACTGAAATCTTACTTTTTTCTGTAGTACTTCCTGGCCCTCTTCGATCCTGATCTTTAGAAAGTACACTGACTTTACTGCTTGACTCAATTATAGATCGTTTTATACTTCCTCTACAGCTTGAGTCAATTGTAGATTGTTTTATTGGTAAAGATGCAAGCTCCAGAGTATTATAAGAATCATATAAATCCCAAGCAGTAGACATTATGCCTAAATAAAGAGACAGCAAGGTAAAAATTACTATAAACCAAAATTCTAATATTTTAGTTTACACATAACTAGTCATAGCAAAATCTAAGATATCTACTGTCTGGGGGGGGGGGGGACATTTAACCACAATGGCAGGAAGTAGATAAAAATAAAAAAAATAGATCATGAAGACACACTAAGAGATCCTTAGGCATCACACTCTTAGCACCTATACTTTAGTGGTAGCTCCAAATTAGCCTTACCATCCTTTCTGATCCCCACACCTCCCTTCTCTTCATCCCAAACTGGCACAGTAGAAGATCAACAGTCTCTCAGTTGACATGAGCCCAGACAATTTATAATAATAAAAGCGTAATATGATAATTAGACTGGACAGCCAAACGACCTTCCAGACATCCTTCCAGATGACCTTTCAGACGAAGCTGGGGCTGCAAGGGCAGGCCAGGGCAAGCAGGGCTGCAAGGGCCGAGCCCCTTGCACGAATTTCGTGCATCGGGCCTCTAGTCATGTTATAACAAGGTTTACTATTCCTTTACTACAGTTAACACATAAGAACATGTTATATTCTTCAGAACTTCGTATTTATAATCATCTAATTCCATTTTATCAAGAAAAATTTTCTATATACTTATTTGAAAAGATCATACATATTGAGAAAATGACAGGCCCTGTTCTCACAAAGCTGGTAGAGTAGTAGGGTTTTGAACTTCTCTTTTAATTTTTTGTTTATCTATATTTATTCAAATGAGCAAATATAACACTGTCTACAAAAAAAAAAAGCTCCCAACCCTTAGTTGCTGATATAAAAATGAAAGGCTTATATAGCAATTATTTCACCAGTGACCACATAATAATATATTCCTACATGCTAAACTTTCATTTAAAGTACAGGGATTTAATAAAGAATTTCCCTCCTGAAAATAAAAACAGAATCTGGACCTAATAAGTGCAACTACTTCATTGTTAGAAGCTTTTTTCATAATGAAAAATGAAGGCTCTCTGGGGTTTAACAAGGTTTTCAATTAGTAGGAATGTTAACTCACATTTCATAACATTTCTATCTTATTGAATTTATTTTAATAGTATTAGCAAAATCTAATACAGAATAAATACCTAGTATATTTTGCTGAATTGAAAGCGGAATAATTTCCATGTTCATGAAATAAAAGATCATAGAAAGAAATCATCTTTGAATATTAAATTACCTAACCTTCCCCCCTCCCCGTTATCTGATAGTTTAAGTTGAATTACATTGTTATATGGCCACTAATAAAATAATTCCTATATAAATGAGTGTGCATGTTATAAATGAGCAATGTAAAATGTTAGAGTGATTTACAATTGTTTCTTCTTTGAAGATAACATTGGTAATTTTACTTTGGATACCATCATTATACTTGTTCATTTGAATAAAGTAATTTAAGAAATAGAAAATTTCAAACCACATCCATAAAATCATGGACAAGATGGAATAATAAATTATTATAACCTTCCGATTGTATGTTGTTGTATATTATTAAAGAAAGCTATGTTAACTAGTATTAGAAAAAGTATTCCCACCTATACCTATGTTCTGAGCATTTTTGAATCTCAGATATGCCTAAATAGTTTTTATACATTTAAAAACAGTTTCTTTCTACTAGTTTAATTCAAACTACAAAAGAGTAGCAATTGGCTGTATAACATTTACAGAATAATAACTTTACTTTTTAGCTGAGTAAAAAGACATGGTCACTTGGGAAAAATAAAGGTAAATATGACTTGCATGTCCATCACCCAGAGATAATAACTGCTAACATTCCAGTGTATGTCCTTCTAGATTCACATATAAATGTATTTGTATGTAAACAAATATGTGTATATTTTAATAAAGTGAGTTCATATCACACATACTTTTATTAAAAACTTTTTATTGTAGTATCATATATAGAAAAGTGGCTTTATGAAATCTACAAAGTTATGAAATTTAACTGTATTTTCAAAAGTTAGCCAGAAACACTAATACACTTATTCTATTATCCACTTATTTGTAATGCCACTTTTATTATAAACTAGAGGCCCAATGCACGAAATTCGTGCAAGGAGCTTGGCCCCCGTCGCCACGGCTCTGTCCAGAAGGTTGTCTGGAAGGATATCTGGTCTAATTAACATATTACACTTTTATTATTATAGATTACTACATACATAACTGTTAAGTGGGAAAAAAATCCTCACTTTTTGTGAATCTTTACAGAAGAAACTTCACTAAATTAACACTTCTGGCCTTTGTCCTTCACTGATGCATTACCAGGGAAAGAGAAATGACTAATCCTGTAGGAGAGTTTAGAAGGAATTTCAGTTCAGTCACTTCTGAATTCTCTTGTTAGGCCTGCTCATTTACAGAAAGCATTCATTCTGGTCTGTTCTCACCTCTACAGAGGAGGTCTGTAGTTGGCTAGTTGTGCCAATCACTATTGCTAAGTTCTATTCTGGAGGTAAGAAATAGCAAGCCCACTTAGCTGCAGATTGAAGGCTACATTTTTCAATTAACTTTATCAATAATAAAGGTAATATTTTGATTTCCATCTCTCTGACTCGTAAATCTCTTTCAATTTCATGCAAAATCAGGGAAGGAAGACATCTATAAAACCTTAATATTTACTCGGTTTGTATCCAAATTCTTTAGTATAAATTGTCTTTTATTATTTTAATAAAATTTTAATTGTAAAATATATACCATTCACCGAAGAATGTATAACACATATATGTGTAGTGTCAAGAAAAAGTTAATAATACCAGGTACTTACCAGCCATACAAAACTGAACATCCCCAGGTGCTTAGAAGTCCCTTGGACATTCTCCTAGCATAGCTTTCTTCCTTCTAGCTACCTAGTTTATAGTTTTGCTGAATTACAAAGGCCATTACGATTATAACCTTTCTTCTAATTACCCCTTTGGCAACACTTCACAGATTTAGGACTATGCAGTGTTCTCAGGGTTGTTAATTTAAAAACATTGAAAGATAGTAGTTAAGAGAACAGTCTCTAGAACTAGACTGTTGAGGGGTATCATTTGTCTGCAGTACTAGCTGAGTGACCTTGATCAAGTTAGTTAATTTCTCTTTGCTTGTTTCTTCCTCTATAAACTGGGGAATAATAATAGTACCTACTTCATGGGGTTGTTGTGAGAATAAAACCGGTTAAAGGCCTAAAATAGTGTAAAAGGCCTAGAATAGTATCTGGCTCATATTAAATGTTATTAGTTATACATGATATTCTTTGTAACATAAACAATTAGTTTCTATAACATTTCATAAACACTTGAAGAGTACAAAGTTCTATGATACAGTTTGTGTAAAAATGAAAAATGATAATTATGTTATTTAAATCTTCTATATCTATGTTTATTACTTGTTAACTTAGTTGTCAAATTCCGAAAGCTGTATATTACGGTACTCAGTTACTGTTGTGATTTGGCCAAATTATTCCTAGTTTTTGCTTTATATACTTTAACATTTACTTGTTAATTGATAGACTCATAGAATGTATATGAAAACATGATAGTTTATCAAGCAGAATAAAACATAAATTACCTTTGTTTTCCTTTATAATTCTGTCACATTGAACATCTTTATTCTTTGGTGCTCCATTAATAGTCTGCATCATTCTTTCAACATATAAGTCATTGCCTAATCTATTTTTACAAAGGTTCTCATAATTCTTGTTTCTCTGGCTATAAAAAATAAAGTATGTTTAACTCATCAATAAAAATTAATATTACTACACATATCATCTTTTTATATTATGCATTTTCTTAAAATTACCTTCTTAATGTGGATCGCACCAAAAAGTGAGAGATCAAAAATCTCCTGAGGAAGAGATTGCCTTTTATTAAACTACCAAAAAGAAGTTTTTTATTCTGTACCTCCCAACATCACTACTTCTTTCATTGCCCACCCAAAATATGTTAAGACTATCTCCACATAAATTTTATAAACTTTGACATAAACACTTAAAGATATAAATTTCCCTCAATGTACTACTTACTTTTGTAACATCCTGTAAGTATTACTTTCATAATTATTTAGTTCTGAGTATTCCCTAAATTTCCAGTATGACTTTTCCTTAGATTCAGGAAGAATTTAGGAAATGTACTTGTTAACTTCCAAATGTATATGTAAACGTGTGTCTATGTTTTAGTTGAGATTTATGTTATTAATTTTGTTGTTGTTAATCCTCACCCAAGGATACCTTTCCATTGATTTTTAGAGAGAGTGGAAGGGATGGGGAGAGACTGAGAGAGAGAAACGCCAATGTGAGAGAGACACACCTACTAGTTGCCTCTAACATACGCCCGACCAGGGCTGGCGATGGAATCTGCAACCCAGGTATGTTTCCTTGGCTGGAATCAAACCTGGGACCCTTCAGTCCTCGGGCCGACACTCTATCCACTGAGCCAAACCAGATAGGGCCTATACTAATTTTTATCTTCATTCCACTATGGTTAGATAATTTATTTTGTATGATACCACTTCTTTGAAATTTTTGAAACTGTTTCATGGCCTTGTGCATGGATGGTTTTTATAAATGTTCCATGTGTGCCTGAAAAGCGTGTGTGTTCTCCAATTGTGGAATATAGAATTCTATGTATAACCATTAGATTACATTTTTGGTTCAAATTTTCTACATCTATACTAATTTTTATCTGGCTGACCTATCAATAATTAATAGAGGTATGTTTAAATATTTTAATTTAATAGGATACTTATCAAATTTCCAATTTTTGCTTCATATATTTTGGAGATTATTTTATTATGAAAATTCAAGTTTAGAATTATTATACCTTCCTGTCATTATGAAGTAACCTTCTTTATTCCAAATAATGCTGTCAGTTTAATTGTTTCTCTGTAGATGATATGCTATTTCTTTTTTCTTCTATTTTAAAAATCTTTCACTATTTGTTGTTGTTGTTGTTTTTATATATTCAATACAACACCAGTACAATGCACTCAGTTCCTTTTTTTTTTTTAGATTTTTTTAAAATGCATTCCTTTTTCAGTAGAATGGTGTCTTTAAATAGTAAGTCTTTACCCACTCTCTTTGCATAGTAATTCTCCTCCATTCTTTTTATTCTACCCTTTTGGAACTGACTAACTGTACATTAGGCCTTTATTCTATTGTCAATATCTTTTTAAATTTGTCATACTTAATATCCCATTATTTTGTATATTATACAAACTTTATTTTGTATATTATACAAACTTTAATTTGTATAATTTATCCAGATCTTTGTTTGTATGGTATTCATATCCAATTTATTAAATCTATATTCTATTATGGCCTATTTAAATTTAATGTGTATTTTAATTATAAGAATTAAGTCAGTGTTTACTTTTTAATTTCAACAATTATGTAAACATACTTTAAAGTACTTTTTAGATGTTTTCCAAATATAAATAATCATTTTGATAGTGTCTTAATGTTAATGATGTTTTAACTCTATCTTTTATTTAAATATTTCACAGATATTTTATATTCTATCTGGTAATATAGAATATATTAGTGGTTAGGGTCTAGATCTAGGGTTCCTTATTTAGTTTAACTCTCATTCATAATGGCTTTAAAAAAGCAACTAGTAATCTTTGTGACTTTACTGTGCTTTTACCAAACCTTATCTGAGGAATCTTAAGAGCCTAAATGGGTATATTTTCCTTCAGAGAAGACTTGTGCTTGCTTATCATAGTGGCTAGGAGACCCTGCTGACCTGAGAACACTGGAGATAATTAAGATCCTTTTAAGGGTCTGAGCTTAATAAAAAAAATCTCTCTTTTAGCTTTTTCAATTTGTTGGGGACCCAAGACTTACTGGTGGAGTCTAGATCTATGAGTTAATATAACATTTGCTTCTAGCATCTCTCACTCTTTGATTTCAAATCACTTATCTATCCCTTTGTTATTTTTCTCTTTCCTTTTTTTCAGTCCTGGTAGCTTTTGCATAAGTCATATGAAATTTTAAAAGTATATTATTCAAGATTTAATTGTACTATATTTTACAATGCAAACAACACTATAATATTTTATATTTGAGTAAGAATAATATTCCCAAAATAAATTTAGTGAATTTTTTTAGTAGTCTGCATCATATTCAAATTATATTTGAAGCTAAATAATCTGAATAACTACATTAATAAGTTATTTGTAGTAACTATGTCAATTTCAAACAGAGCAGACTTCAGAGCAAGGAAATTCGTCAGAGATAAAGATTGGTTATTACATGGTGATAAAGGGGTTAATTCCTCAAAGGCAACAATCCTGAATTCAACATACATGAGGCAAAAACTAGTAATCTACACTGAGTGGCCAGATTATTATGACCAGCCAGATTATTATGACCACCCCATCAGTACAATGAAGTGAATTAGTTATGCAAATAATAATAATAATAAAACCTTGAGAGTATTTGCTTAGGAAGTTTTCAATATTCAGTATTTTTGGAAGTGTCAATGAAGTACTGATGGGGTGGTCATAACAATCTGGCCGGTCATAATAATCTGGCCACTCAGTGTATTTATAGTCATTAATAAAGAGAAATGGAAAATCTACTCTAATATAGTAAAGTTAATTATTTTCCCATAACAGATATTCCCTTAAGTTTTGAATATAAAAATGTCAGTCCTTTTTTTTTTATTTTATCTTTTTTAAAATAATTTTTATTTCTTAAAGTATTACAAAGAGTATTACATATGTCTCCTTTTTTCCCCCCCTTGACTTCTTCCCGGCCTCCCCTACGCCCCAGTGTTTTGTCCATTGGTTATTCTTATATGCATGCATATAAGTCCTTCAGTTGATCTCTTAACGCACCCGCCCCCCCCGCAAACCCTCCCCAGGCTTCCCACTGTAGTTTGACATTCTGTTCAATGCAGCTCTGCCTCTGCATCTATTTTTGTTCATCAGTTTATATTGGTCTTTATTATCCGTTTCAACCTCACCGGGGCCATTCCAACCTCACTGGGGCCGTTTCGACCTCACCGGGGCTGTCCCGACCTCACTGTGGCTGTCCCTACCTCACCGGGGCCGTTTCAACCTCACTGGGGCCGTCTCGACCTCACCGGGGCTGTCCCGACCTCACTGTGGCTGTCCCTACCTCACCGGGGCCGTTTCAACCTCACTGGGGCCGTCTCGACCTCACCGGGGCTGTCCCGACCTCACTGTGGCTGTCCCTACCTCACCGGGGCCGTTTCAACCTCACTGGGGCCGTCTCGACCTCACCGGGGCTGTCCCAACCTCACCGGGGCCGTCCCAACCTCACAGGGGCTGTCCTGACCTCACCGGGGCCATCCCAACCTCACCGGGGCTGTCCCGACATCACTGGGGCTGTCTCAACCTCACTGGGGCCATTTCAACCTCACCGGGGCTGTCCCGACCTCACCGGGGCCGTCCGACCTCGCCGGGGTTGTCCCGACCTCACCGGGGCCGTCCTGATCTCACCGGGGCCATCCCAACCTCACCGGGGCAGTTTCAACCTCACTGGGGCAGTTTCAGCCTCACCAGGGCCGTCCCGACCTCATCGGGGCCGTCCCGACCTCACCAGGGTTGTCCCAACCTCACCGGGGCTGTTTCAACCTCACCGGGGCAGTTTCAGCCTCACCGGGGCCATCCCAACCTCACCAGGGCCGTCCCGACCTCACCGTGGCTGTCCCTACCTCACCGGGGCCGTTTCAACCTCACTGGGGCTGTCCTGACCTCATTGGGGCCGTCCCGACCTCACCGGGGCCATCCCGACCTTGGCGCCTCTGTAGCTCCTACTCAGTCTCACTGCGCTTCTTTCTTTCCTTCCAGTTGTAGAACTTCCACTGGGCCAACTTCCCCATGGTTCTGAATGGTCGTTGTTTGTCTTATAGTTGGTAGTTTCAATGATATTGTGGGAGGCAGCACGCACAGGTCTACACCCTACGCCGCCATCTTGGTCTCCTCAGTCCTTTATATATGCATAAAAATCATTAAACCCTATATTGACACTTGGAAGCTTTCTTTATTTCTTTTATGACTTATCTTAGTAGTTCCTCTACTTTTTAGTGAATATGGTAAAGCCATGGGTGCATACAGCATAAACACTTTAAGTATAATTTCACAGGACACATAGGGTAACAAATAATTTCACCAGGCACATACACCACAGTATTTATCCAGGAATCCCCAAGGACAGAAACAAGAATAAGAACTCCATTCAACTGGTGTAGCTCAGTGGTTGAATGTCAACCTATGAACCAGAAAGTCACAGTTGGATTCCCAGTCAGGGCACATGCCTGGGTTTCAGGCTTAAGTCCTAGTAGGGGGCATGCAGGAGGCAACCTATTGATGATTCTCTCTCATCATTGATGTTTTTTTCTCTCTCCCTTCCTCTCTCTGAAATCAATAAAAACGTATTTTTTAAAAAATAGTAAGAAACTCTGTCTTTGCATTTAAATTATAGAAGCAATATAAACAGTTGAACCATACATACAGTATTTTGTCAGCTTCTTCAGCTTCTACAGAAATCATGACTGTTGGTAGGTTAAACAATGTAATTGTTTCTGTCTCTGTGAGTAGTATGTCTATAGTCTTCTTTAGTTCTTCTTTGGTTATAGTTTTTCTGGTTGTTTTCTTTGGAATTTGTAACTCTAAAATGCACAATACAAATCATTTGCGAATTGCTCCTTTAAAATAGTATATTAAATAACTGGGAACATAATATGCAACCTTCCTTTGAAACTAAGCAAATTTCTAGTCTATATCTACAACAACCTTTTGTTCTTTGTCCTTTTTATCAATTGTCTTTTGATTTAGATTACAGCCCACCTCTAATCATCTTTACCAGGAGCTAAAGACTCTCCAATGGAAGTTCTGGTTAAATATAGGATCAAAATAGGTTTATTATCCATGCAAATAAGATATTGAAAAAGGTTGGCCTCAAGCTTCTAGGCTAGCCAGAGGTCCGAGTTCCTTTAAAAAAATTTCACTCAGGACTGGGGAAGTTGGAAGAGTCATGACAAGGTATATAGGTTACACAGAGTTCAATGTTTTCTGTTAAAAACAGGGTGTGAAGCAGGAATCCATGAGTCTTTGGGAAGGGTAAAACTTGGATAGCTTTAGAAAAACAAAACTTAAGGGTATACACGTTCCACAGACTAAGGCTCAGTCTCCTCTTAAGAAGTCCCAGAGCCTAAGAAAAAAACTTTTCTTATAACCTAAAAAAAAAAAATTCAAGTTATTAATTCCACTAATTCCAGGAAAGTAAGAATCTAGTCAATCTTCTACTTAATTGCTGATTTTTGCCTGGATCTCTGTATCAACCATTGTCTGAATGTTGCTTGTATTGAGAAATTGCCTGAAACTTATATACATATATATTTGCCTAATATGCAAATTGTCCCCTCAGGAGTTCGACCAGGAGTTCGATTGCTCGCTATAATGTGTGCTGACTGCCAGGGGGTGGCATGGAACAAAGGAAGGCCCCAGCTGGCAGCCAGCAGCTGGGGAAGGGAGGCCCCAGCCGGCAGCTGGAAGGCCCTGGCCCTGATCGCTGGCCAGGCCTAGGGACCCTACCCATGCATGAATTTCATGCACCGGGCCTCTAGTATACCTTTAGAATTTATTTCATGGGCCAGATCCCCTAAAGCTAAAATGGCCGTACAATTAGATCTTGACTGAATATCCCTCTCCACCTAGAAAAGCACACAAATTTATCAATTTGCCTCACCTGCCCTTATTTACTTCCAGAGATGGAGAGAACACATCTTCTCCATTCCTAATAGTTCTTCCAGAAGGAGGGAAGGGTAAAACTTGGATAGCTTTAGAAAAACAAAACTTTTTTTTTTTTTGTAGGTCTGATGGTTTTACTTGACATAATAAAATTGGTGCAAAAACACTTCTGTCTAATTACTTTTAACCTTTTGGTCCAAATACATAAAATATGCAATATTTACAGCATTTTCCTTTTTGTAAATGCAATGCTTTAAAACACATTATAAAGCACCGTAGTAAAAATAGTTTACAAGTAAAAGTACAGAAGTGGGAAAACCCTACCCATACCACAGCTCACTAAATGGAGTTATAATATGGAGTCACCAGTACCTGTTGACAGCTTTACAGATAACCTGGAGAAACAAATACTAAACTTACTTTTTTTTATATTAATGTGTGGAAGCCTCAACTAAAATTTCAGCGTTTTCTGTAGTGTCTCCCCAATCTTAGATACTGGAGAGATAGGAATGAGAAACATTGCTTTGATCTTTTTACAGTATTAGTAATAGTTTGAATTGGTTTTAAACACTAATGACGATTATTTTTTTAAAGGAAATGAACATGGCCTACATAAATGTGTAGAATATGTGTAGAAAGGGCTGGAGGTGGTCATGACAATAACCCAGTCCTGGTCTCCCTCTGAGAGGATGAGTTTCACTCCTGCAACAGACATTGCTGACTGTCTAAAATTTCATTGCTAAGTCCTTCTCCCTTTCTTTGCCTCTTTCCATTTAACAGAGACTGAGACACCAAGTATTTAGGTTTCCTACACTCTCTTGAAGCTAGGGGTGGCCATGTGACACAGTTCTAACCAACAAGATAAAATAAAAAAAAATAAACAAGAAGAACAAAGTCCTCTGGGAAATCTTTTCTTTCCTGATAAGGGAGATGTGTCTGGTGCTACTGCCTTTTTCTTTCTTCTGTCTTTAATGTGGATATGATAATACCCAGAGCTGGGGTAGATATGTTGAGACCAGGAGGCACGAGGCAAGAAAGGGCTTAAGGAAAGAGAATAATGGAGCTGCCAATCCAGAGTCTTTTGTGGCATAATTAAGTCACAAAATTAAGGCCAAAAATTATCTACCTCTTAACTTCTTTTAATGTGGGGAAAAATAAGCCTTTATTTGAATAAACTAAACTAATGGTAGTTAGGTATCCTGTTACTTGTCAAGAGCATTCCTATTACACCAAAAATAAAAGTCCATCACCAAAAAAGAAGATTCTATCAAGCACTTTCCCAACCGTATCAATATTCTCATTAATCCTTCACTATCATCTTAGAGAAAAAGACATTCTTACTCTACTTCAAGGCAAATGGCCCCTCAAGTAGGCATTCCTTTCTTCTGGTACTTCTGACCAACCATTATTTCCTTATTCTTTTATCTTTACTTTCATAATCTTTTGCACTACCTCATGTTTTATCTTTGGCTTGGAACGGGCCTCTCCTCTTCGTTCTCACAAATAACTAATATATTTAAAACCCAATTCAAATGTCAGTAATGTTCTCTCTGTGAACATTCTCTCTTTTTCTCACCTCAAAGGAGTTAATATTTCCTTTCTAAGTGCTCCCATCACATTCGGCATATATCTTATTACAGCATTGATCACAATGTATCAGAATTATTTGTCTCTGAGTAAAAAGCTGAGGTCTTTTAAAACATGCTCTGTGATTCTTGAGGCTGGTGGTATAGGACAGCCACCTTGGGAACTTTTAGAATTATATGGATAGTTACTACCCTGGTAATGTTCATATTGCTACTGCACAAATGAGCATTTGGGAATCATTACCACAGTTCTTCTATCTCAAGTATCCAAAAAATAATGAGCATATGTGCTAAAGGAATATAGTGGTCTGTTACTGCAATAAACAACTGTATTTTCATTACCTGTAATACTAGCCGGTCCTTCCCGTTTATAGGATAATTCTTCTAGGTCTTCTGCTATTGACTCATTAGTTGATAGACTTGACTTAGACACTGTACTGCTTCCTAAAACTGACCTTTAATAACAACATTATTTATTTGCTTAGATGTCCTTATGGATAATTAAACATATAAATGAAAATATCATGTTGAGAAACCAATTATATTATAATCATAAGCAAAACTGATAAAAATCCGTTCTTCAAACATCAAGTTGATTTCTAATATTCTTTAAGTAAGTCATTTAAATATATTTTAGAGATAACATATCAAAACTATACCTAAAGTCCTTCAATGGATTCCCAATATATTTAGGGTAAAAACCTAGAATACAGCCCACCTACCTAGACTCTCCAACTTCAGTATCACTCTTATCTTCCCTTTTTCTTTTCTTCTTTTTTTTTATTCCTCAACCTTATAGAGCATTCCTACTTCAGGGTCTCAGCCTAGAATACACTTCCTTTCATTTTTCACCAGGTTTCTGCTCATCATTCAAATCCCATCTTAAATGTGACTTATTCATTTTGACAAAGGCTTTCTCAAGATTTACTTAAAAGAAAATCTATGGCCGAAGCCGGTTTGGCTCAGTGGATAGAGCGTCGGCCTGTGGACTGAAAGGTCCCAGGTTCGATTCCGATCAAGGGCATGTACCTGGGTTGCGGGCACATCCCCAGTGGGGGATGTGCAGGAGGCAGCTGATCGATGGTTCTCTCTCATCGATGTTTCTAACTCTCTATCTCTTTCCCTTCCTCTCTGTAAAAAAATCAATAAAATAGATTAAAAAAAAAAAAAACTAAGAACCCCCAGTGGGTGTGCCAGGAGGCAGCTGATCGATGGTTCTCTCTCATCGATGTTTCTAACTCTCTATCTCTTTCCCTTCCTCTCTGTAAAAAAATCAATAAAATAGATTAAAAAAAAAAAAAAGAAAATCTATGTACTCAGTGGAAATCAGTATATGAAAGAATCCCAAAATAACTTCCTTAAATATATGGACTTAAAATTACTCCAAGATATTAATTGCCCCCCCCCCTTTCTGTCTATAATCCCAACTGCACTCCAAATGGGTGGATCAAATTTACTGGAATATCCATTGTTTTGCTGAGCACTCCCCCCACCCTCCAAATCTCATGCCTAGTTAACATCTGGAACTTTTAATTTGTCAGATTGAAAATTACACACTCAAATATTTCCCTTTAATCTTTACATTGTTTTAGGATGCGCTGTTTCATTAGTGCAAAGATCTGAACTTTTCTACTATAAGCATTCACGAAATTTCAAGTGTACTAGTATCTACATAAAAAAAAAGCATAACATTTCATTTACAAGGAAGAAAATTATAAAACAAGAGAGAAATCAAACCCTAGGAGAACAGGGATTTGCATGGGGGAATAGATGTGAGGGAGGGGAGCAAAAGCCACTCTTTCCCATAAATTGTAGCATAAAAGAAACTGAAGAAATATGTCTGTGGGTATGTAATACTAGCCCCCTCTTTTGTTTTTTCAGGAAATATTGAGTAAAATTTATATATTTTTTTCACTAATGTTTTGGTGTGAGTGTACGAGAACTTAAGACGTGCAAAGCTCTACATCTAATTAGAACTAATTATGAGAGGAGCATAGAGGTGGCACATTAGGATGACAGAGTGGAGCTGGGAGACTGGAGACAATGGACATCGAAGTTACATATATGCAACTTAAATGAAAAGACAATGTATATAACATTTTTTAAAAGTATAGAACAGTATACTCTACCTTGAAAACTGCCCTAACATACTAGGATTTAGTGTATTTTGATAAAGGCTGTGGGAAGGTACAAATTCTGAGGAGAATGATCCTTCTCGTGATGTCAACAGTTTATTTGGCTTTGGTGTACCAGTATGTGGATCTGGACGGTAAAGAGGTCGAGGAGTAACATCAACTCCATTTACATCAAACACCTGTAGAAAATGGTAATATGAAATAAGTAAAAAAGATAAGGTTCCTAAATAATAAGTCCTAGAAAATAGAAATAAAAGTAATAGGAAAAAAAGAGATAAGTATAATGTTTCTGGGTTAGAATAAACATGAAAAATTAAATGATAAAAGATCTTATGCTTAAAAAGTTTCTAAAGTAGACATACATTTTTAAGTCTTATGTTTTACCTATGTATAAGTAATATATGTTAATTTGAGAAAATTCAGAAAGATAAAAAAATTATTATTCATCCAGATTATTTTTGCATATTATATTTTTGTGGCTTAATAAATTCTTAACAACTGAACACACCCATGGACCCAGAATTCAAATTTAGAAACAGGAAATTACCAGAATCCCAGAAGTTCCTTTCATAAGAGACAGTGTTTCCCACCAAAAGTAACAATTATTCTAATAACATGGAGTAGTTTTGCTTGTTCTTAAACTTTATTTAGATGGAAGCATATAGTATATACTCTTTGGAACTGTTTTTTTTTGTTCATTATTATATTCGTGAGATTCATTCATATTATCTAGTAGATGGTTCATTTTCATTATTGTACACTATTTTGTTTTGTGAATAGCCAGAATTTTATTTATCTATTCTATTGTTTATGGACATTTCTGTAGTTTTTCTTTTTTCTTTTTTTCTTTTTTTGGCTCTTACAAATGGTGCTGCTATGAATACTGTTGTATGTGCGTTACCAAATATGCTGTATGCATTTATGTTGGATATGTACCAAAGAGTGGAATTTCTGTGTAATGAATCATCTTTAATAGATACTGCTAAAGTTTTTGCAAGTGGTTCCCACCAACAATGTATGAAAGTCAATGTAATTTAGTTTTGCCTGTTTTTAAAATGTATATAGTCATATACACTGAGTGGCCAGATTATTAGACCACCCCATCAATACTTTGTTGGGCCACCTTTTGCATTCAATACTGCGGCGATTCTTCTTGGCATTGACTCCACGAGATGTTGAAAGGTGATGCGAGGAATCTGACACCATGCCTGATGAATAGCACTGTCCAGTTCTGTGAGATTTGATGGTTGTGGAACCAGCTGCCTGATGGCTCTTTTAACTTCGTCCCACAAATGCTCAGTTGGATTGAGATCTGGTGATTGTGGGGGCCACTTAAGCAAGGTAAAGTCTCCCTAGTGTTCTTGAAACCACTCCTGCACAATATGAGCACCATGGCATGGCGCATTGTCTTATTGGAAGAAGCCATCTCCATTGGGATACGCCATCAACATGATAGGATGAACTTGATCAGCAATAATACTTAGGTATGTTGTGCTATTCAGACGTTGTTCCACATGAATTAAAGGGCCCAAATCATGCCAGGAAAACATGCCCCAAACCATAACACTGCCCCAACAGCTTAAGGGTTGTACTCATGCATGTGGGGTGCATGCTTTCATGAGGTTTCCGCCAAATTCTCACTCTGCCATCTGCATGATGCAACTGGAAACATGATTCATCGGACCACATGACTTTTTTCCAATGCTCGACTGTCCAATCCTTGTGTTCCTGTGTGAATTGGAGACATTTTATCTTGGTAACTGCAGACAGCAAAGGTGTTCAAACAGGCCTTCGGCTTCCATATGCCATACGATGCAGTCAACGGCTAATTTGCCTACAAACGTCATAATAATCTGGCCACTCAGTGTATTATGACATATTTTGTCATTTTTGTTTGACAATATGTTTTTCTATTTCTCTATGTTGTTGTATGCACATTAGTTTGCTCATTTACAGATGATTGTAGTCTGTTGGATTATTAGTATATCATATATATTTCTTTCCATCACTCTTTTTTAATCCACTCATCTGCTGATGGGCTATTAGGCTGTTTCTAAATCTTAGCTATTGTAAATTGTGTTGCTATGGACATAGGGGTGCGTATGTCCTTTCTGATTGTTGTTTCTGATTTCTTGGGATATATTCCTAGAAGTGGGATCACTGGGTCAAATGGGAGTTTCATTTTTAATTTTGTGAGGAAACTACACACTGTTTCCCACAGTAGCTGCACCACCAGCAGTGCATGGGGGTTCCTTTTTCTCCACATCCTCACCAGCACTTGTAGTTTGTTGATTTGTTGATGATAGCCATTCTGACAGGTGTGAGATGGTACCTCATTGTCATTTTGATTTGCATCTCTCAGATGATTAGTGACTTTGAACATTTTTTCATATGTCTTTTGGGTTCTGTATGTCCACTTTTAAAAAGTGTCTAGGTCCTTTGCCCATATTTTGATTGGGTTATCTTCATTAAGTTGTATGAGTTTCCTATAAGTTTTGGAGATTAAACCCTTATTAAATGTAACATTGGCAAATAAATATGAGCTCCCATGCAGTGGGCTCTCTTATTTTGTTGATAGTTTCTTTTGCTGTGCAGAAGCTTTTAATTTTGATGTAGTCCCATTTGTTTATTTTTTCCTTAGTTTCCATTGTTCTAGGAGATGTATTGGTAAAGATATTGCTGTGAGATATATCTGATATTTTGCTGCCTATGGTTTCTTCTAAGATTTTTATGGTTTCCCATCTTACACTTAAGTCTTTGATCCATTTTGAGTTTATTTTTGTGTATGGTATAGTTGGTGATCTAGTTTCCTTTTTTGCATGTATCTGTTCAATTTTCCCAACATCATTTATTGAATAGACTATCTCAACTCCATTGTATGCTCTGACCTTCTTTGTCAAATATCAATTGAGCATAATGGCTTGGGTTGATTTCTGGGTTATCTCTTCTGTTCCATTGGTCTATATGTCTGTTCTTGTGCCAGTAACAGGCAGTTTTGAGAACAGTAGCTTTGTAATATAGCTTGATATCTGGTATTGTGATCCCTCCAACTTTGTTCTTCTTTCTCAAGATTGTTGCAGCTATTCGTTTTTTTATTATTATTCCATATAATTTTTGGAAAGTTTGTTCTAGGTCTGTGAAATATGCTGTATTTTAATGGGGATTGCATTGAATCTATAGATTGCTTTGTCTAGAATGGTCATTTTAATGATGTTAATTCTACCAATCCATGAACAGGGTATATTCTTCCACTTGTTTATATTTTCCTCTCTTTTTTCAATGTCCTGTAGTTTTCTGAGTACATGTCCTTTACCTTCTTAGTTAAGTCTATTCCTAGGTATCTTAATTTTTTTGTTGCAAAAAATTGGGATTGTCTTTCTAGTTTCTCTTTCTGTGAGTTCATTATTGGTATAAAAAATGCTGTAGATTTCTGGGTATTAATTTTGTATCCTGATATATTGCAAATTCATTTAATAAATCTAGTAGTTTTTCAATGGAGTTTTTAGGGTTTTCTGTGTACAATATCATGTCATCTGCAAATAATGACAGTTTTACTTCTTCTTTTCCAATTTGGATACAATTTTTCTTATCTGATCACTATGGCTAGCACTTCCAATACTACGTCAAACAGGAGTGGTGAAAGTGGGCATCCCTGTTTTGCTCCTGTTCTTAGGGGAAATGGTTTTAGTTTTTACCCATTGAGGATGATGTTGGCTGTAGGTTTGTCATATATGGCCTTTATTACATTCAGGTATGATCCGTTTATTCCCACTTTGCTGAAAGTTTTTATCAAAAAAAGGTGTTGGATTTTGTCAAATGCTTTTGTGCATCAGTTGATATGATCATGTGTTTTTTGTCTTTCAAGTTATGTGATGTATCAGCCTTTCATCCCCAGAACAAATACCACTTGGTCATGGTATATGATCTTTTTAATGTATCGCTGGATGTGATTTGCTAATATTTTGTTGAGGATTTTAGCATCTATGTTCATCAGGGATATTGGCATGTAATCTGTAATTCTCTTTCTTTGTAGTGTCTTTATCTGGTTTGGGGATTAGAGTAATGCTGGCTTCATAGAAAGAGCTTGGAAGTGTGCCTTCCTCTTGAATTTTTTGGAACAGTCTGAGGAGGATTGGTGTTACTTCTTAAAAAGCAATTCTTAATAAGTCCTCTAATGAGATAGAATAACCTATTTTATGACAATTCATTTAATTAAATTTTCTAGAGTACACTGCAAAGAGGGGATAGCAGTTGTACTATCTGTATTATAGCTTGATTAGTCACAATTACTATCAAACCAACTAATTCTTAAGGTCACGAGTAGATTTTTCTCATTCCACTCTAATATTATTACCAATAATGAATTATAGGAGGTAACTGCCAATATTATACTGTAAAATATGTTATGTGGTAAAGACTAATTAAATCAATATATCAATATTAGGAGTGATTATTTCAAAGCAGCATATTTTCTACCTTTAACATGTCATCAAGTTCTTCAAGGTGTCTTTTTCAAATAAACTTAGAATTCTAAAGAATATTACTGCCCTAGCTGGTTTCACTCAGTGGATAGAGTGTCAGTCTGTGGAGTGAAGAGTCCCGAGTTTGATTCCGGTCAAGGGCACATGCCTGGGTTTCGGGCTCAATCACCAGTAGGGAGCATGCAGGAGGCTGCCGATCAATGATTCTCTCATCATTAATGTTTCTCTCTTTCTCTCCCTCTCCCTTCCTCTCTGAAAACAATAAAAATATATTGGAAAAAAAAGAGAGAGAGAATATTACCTGTATGGCTGCCTTTGTGGTAGTCATTTTATCTGTTTTCATCTCTGGTAATGCCGCCAAGATTTTTGATGAACCCATTCTGCTTGGGGTCATACCAAGATATCCTTTTGTTTGAGCTCCTTTTACTGGGGTAAAAAGGCCAGTAACAGACTTCTTTTGCGGACTGCCTAAGTTCCTATACCAAGAAAAGAAAATAATACAGAGGATCCACAACTGAAGAAAAACTAACCAACACTAAAAAGAGACTTTAATTAGAAACATGAAAACAATCTAAACATATAAATGAGAAATACTACTACTACTACTTAAAAGCTCATTATGTGTAAGAATAGATCTAGAATGTTTATATGCATTATGTCAAATTTTCCACACAACTCTATGAGGTTACTATTACTATTATGTATACTAGTTATTTATATGAAAACTTTAGAGGGAAACATTTCTAGTAGAGTTGAAATTTAAACCCAGGTAGTCAGATCCAAAGTCCACACTGATTTCTCTGGGTCTGTTCCCTTATCTGTATAATGGGGATAATAATAGTTTCTAATTCATAGGTTATTTGAGGATTAAAATAATTTATGTTATAGTTAGGAAGTGTCTGACACGTAGTAAGCACAAATGAGTGTAGAGTGCAGTAACATAGGCAGATTAAAGCATAAGTATAAACCTGCCTGAACAATTACATAATAATTTTAATAAGAAGAGAAGTTATTATCAAAATGTTTATGTCCTGGAGAAAAAATATGATTTTACTTTTGGATCTACTCTGTAAGTTCCCTAAGACAAAAACCTACCTTATCATTCATTCTAGTACTCTGATTATACTTTGGATTTCTATAAAATAAGGACAATCTGCCCTTAGATTTTAAAAAGGGAGTAGATGTTCAATAAAACTTTTTAAAAAAATATATTTTTATTGATTTCAGAGAGGGAGAGAAATAGAAACATCAATGATGAGAAAGAATCATTGATTGGCTGCCTCTGGCACAACCCACACTGGGGATAGAGCCTGCAATCTGGGCATGTGCCCTGACCGGGCATTGAACCATGACCTCCTGGTTCATAGGTTGATGCTCAAGCACTGAGCCACTCCTGTCCTGGCAAAAGAAAATGTTTTTAATGATAGCTTTACTTTCAAATCATAAATGATCAGAGTACAATAAAATATTTTTAAAGACATTAGTACATTTATTACTACTTCACACTTTGTTGTTGTCCATTCCTCTACTAAAATATAAGCATGTTTAGGGCAAAAACTTTTGTCTTGTTCATTGCTATATCCCTAATACGAAGGACAGTGCCCAGTATGTTGTGGGCACAAAATAAGCATTTTTTAAAAATAAATGACTAAGTGAATTCCATTCATGCTATATCTTTTTTAAGTATTCTACCTGTCCTCCCCCCTTCAGTCTCTAAAGGACTTTACCTTCAACATCTCTAAGAAAATAAAATTAATCAAGTAAAACCTCCTTAAATTATGTTTCTACCTTCATTATAATCTTCTTCCTCATCCTACAAACTCATATAAACCTAAACTCAAATTTCTTCCTCTTTCAGTAAAACAGTTGCCATTCTTATCTCAGGCTATCTTTCTACCTAGGCTTTGAAACTTGTCTCTTACTACTTTCTCAGGGATACTTCTCCATCAATAATTCCCTGTCTCCTACATTTTATTTCATATCTTTTCCCCCTAGCATATTATTATGCTTCAGTCATCCCCTAAACTTAAAAATCTTTCCTTTAGCAGTCTTCCTCTATCCATTACTACATTTCTCCTTCTTTCATAGTCTAACTTTTTAAAACATTAGACAATTATACTGGCTACTTCCTTACTCCTCTTATTTGCTTCATAATTCACTACAATCCAGTTCTACCTTCTCCTCTCCTACTGCACAGAAACCATGTTTATCATGTCCACCATTTATAGCCCCAGCAAATAGCACTCTGCCTACTACATTTAGAAATCAGAGAAAGTACAGACTACTTTTTAAAAGAAATTGAAATTCCTTTCAATTATATTAGAAATTTATAATACATGTGTAATTATGTTAGAAAACAAATGTTCTCAAGAGGCAAATTAGTGGGCAATAAGATGATTTCAGGAGGAGATAACCAATCTGAAAATCACTGTCTAAAGAATAGTCATGATACCAGAGGCCAGGTAGCTCTACACTCTTAAGTTTGCTAAAGCAGGGACTTAATTTTTTAAAAATATTTTTATTGATTTCAGAGAGGAAGGAGAGAGAAACATTGATGTGAGCGTTAAACATCGATAGGCTGCCTCCTGCATGCCCTCCACCAGGGATTGAGTTTAAGATTCTAATGGAAAAACTGGATAACATGCTCAACAGACGAAAATTCTAAAAAATCAAAGGAAATGAATAAACCAAAAAGTTAGTAGAATAGAGAAACTGAGCAGAGAAATGGGATAAAAGCATTGAACAATTAATTACTGGTAGTTTTTAAAAGAGATTGTCCAATATTGTTAAGACAAATAGGAAAGACCCAAAATAAGAAAATTTGGAGTGAAAAAGTGAAAGTGAAAAATTAATGTTTCATGTGATCCTTTCCAAGATCAGGATTAAATCCTAAAAGAAAGATGAGAAATAACATATGTATTAGGTCAAACCATTGTAAACTTTAGTGTCTGTCAAATTTTATTTTAATTATACAACATGGCTAACTCAAAAAGTTAAGGTTATACTATTTCCCATCTCCCACCTAATTCTTTCCTTAACAGGTAATCTTCTATGAATTTGTCATTATTTAAGAAATTCCCAAGGGAATTTTTCTAACTATCTCAGCTACTATGAGAGTTGTATGACTTTAAAAATTACATGAACTCTACTCAATTTTACCTTGAGATTTCCATACCTTCAAGTAAAAACAAAAACCAGACGAGTAACCAGTCACTAAAGTACAAACTTATTCATTCGTTCAGTCAACAAATATTTATTGAGCATCTTCTTTATTCTAGGCAATAGCAGTGAACAAAACAAAAAAGTCTCTGCTCCCATGGAGTACCATAGCTTGGGTGAAGGCAGATTAACAAACAAGTATACCAAATACCAAATAGGTTTACTTGTTTTATGGAGAAAAATAAAGCAATGAGGAGGAGGAAGTATTATACACACACACACACATTAGCGAATTCTTTGATAAGGTGACATGTAAAGAAAATGAATCATGAGGTTATCTAGGGGTACAATATTCCAAAAGACAGCAAATGTATACATTCTGAATTGGGAAAATAATGTGCCTGATATTACTGTGGAACAACAGTGAGTGTAATTAATCAAGAGGAAGAGTCCAAGGTGAGATACTGTAAGTAGTGTTTCCACTCTGAGTGCAATGGGAGCCAGAAGATGGTTTTGAAAAGAGCCAGTTATTACTGTAATGTGGGCGTCGGCAAGACCATTTATGTGGTTACTGCAGTGTTACAGTGGCTTACATCGGAGTGGTAAGCCTGGATTCATTTTTCAGGTAGAAATGGTAGAAGCTGCTGATGGAGTGGATGTTAGAGAAGTCGAGGGTAACTCCAAGGCTTTAACGAACTGAAAGAGAAGTTGCCATTTTATTTCAGAGTTGGTTAGAAAATTAAGTTTTGGATATAAATTTTGAGATGTCTTATTAACACAGAGTTGGTTAGAAAATTAAGTTAAGTTTTGGATATAAATTTTGAGATGTCTTATTAACTCCTAAGGGCAAATATTTGCTTTTTTGAAAGTCTGTTTTCTTGGGAGAGGTGTTGGCTAGCGATATAAACTTGTGAATCATCAGTGTATAGGTGATTTTTAAAGGCATGATAATGAAAAAAAGACTGACCCCAGCAACACTCCGATATTTAGACACGGGAGAAATGAAGAAGTATCAGCAAAGTATTTAGAGAAAAGTATTCATAAACCAAGGGGAGAACAAGGGAAGAGTGGTGTTGTCCTAGAAACCTCGAGAAGTGACAAACCAGATCAAAGCTGCTGCTGCGTGAGTTGAGAATGAAACAGACACAGCCACTGAATATTGCCGGGCAGCAGCTACTGCTGTGGACCTTTACGAAAGCTATTCTGCTGGGGCGGTAGAATGGGCCAAAATCTTGAGTATCATATTCAAGAGAGAACGGGAGGTTCTCTCAAAAAAAAAAAAAATTCAACAAGTTCTGCTAAAGGAAAATGAGCTGAGCTGGAGGAGACTGGAGAGATGTTCAAAATTTGGGAAGAGAGAAGAAAAGGGGCCTGGAAGTATGGGAGAGGGAGCTAATCGGGGAACTTGAGCGGCACTGCTGGGCAGCGCGGAGGGAGCCCTCGGAGCTGGGCGCTTTCTCCGGCCTGTCATTCACCGGTTGCAGGACCGCTAGGATGCTGTAAGCAGGAAGGAGCTTAGGGCAGGAGGGTATGAGGAGGGGGTAGGAAAAAACCGAGGGCACAGCTCGTGGGCAACTAGCTTGAGACGGCAGGGCGGAAAAAAACGGAGGAGTGCTAGCAGGATGGCTCTCCACCAACCCGGCCTTTTCTCATGGGGCGAGCACGGCCGGCGGGGGTCTGGTAAAGGCTGCATGTGCTGGGCCAAGGAAGGAGGGACACGGCCGCCTGGAGGCTTCCGATGCTGTTGACTGAACCCAGCTGCAGCTAGAGGTTCCTTCCCTCCGCGAACCGGAGGGCCGGACTAAGGTTTCCTCGCCGGAACTTACGATGTGCTGCTCGGCTTCTTGTAGTTGTCTATCGGAGTGCCGAGCATGGTGGCGACGGGCTGGGGAGTGGCTGACCACCCCTTTCCCCGCCGGCTCCGGGAGCCCCTGCACCCCAACCCCGGGCGTTAGCGGCGAGGGCTGAAGCACCGGAATGTTTGCCGGGCGTCATGGAGACGGTGGAGCCCGGGCTCAACAAGCGGCCGCGCGGTTGGCTGGCGGCTGGAGGCCGAGGAGGAGGGCGGAGGCGGAGGGGAGGGCAGAGGGTTGGTGGAGCAGGAGGAAGCTCGGGGAAACGACTAGAAGAAGGAGGCGGGCGGCCCCGGCCCCAGGCCCCTCCCAGGCTCGGAGTCTCCCCGGCTGCAGGCGGATGGATGGGGCTTCTCCAGGCGGTGGCGGCTGCAGCAGAGGTGGCGGCGGTGGCGGCGGCAGCGGCTGTAAGTGCAGCCTCCATAAACCACCTCCCCTCTCCTGGTCCTTTTTGGGACGAGGGGCTCCCGAGGTGTCCTCTGTCCCCTTTCTCCCCTTCCCCTCCCCCACCACAGAGTACCGCCCGGAAGACACTGAACTTCCGGGGAGGGGCTGCCGCCCGCTTCCCTCCCGCAGGGGCGCGAGCCGCCGAGGCGCACGCGCAGCTCCCCTCCGCCCCCCGCCCCCCTCCCAGCCCGGTCTTTCGCTTTGGCAGTGCCCGCGGCTGGCTGGCTGGGAATCCGCAGCGGCGTGAGTGTGCCTGACCCTGATCGCCTCCGCCCCTTTCTCCTGTCGGCCTCCGGGTCCAGGTCGGGGTGGGGCTAAGCTGCCCTCCCCTCTGTGGCTCCGCCTCTTTTCCCCAGCATCTTGGGGTTCGGTTCCAGCCCGGGGGAGGCTTCTGCTCGCCCTGCAGCCCTGGTGGTGAGCAGGGTCCTGGGCAAACCATCTCTTTCTAGAGGGAGTGAGGGAGGGAAGAGAGACTCCAAGAGGGCACTATTGGGAGGGACCGAGGCGCTCCCAGCCGCTGGAAGGATTCCTGGGGACAGATGCCTCCCCCTCCTTGGGCCTTGTTCTCCCAGCTTTTCATGGAAAGATCTCTGGCCTGTAGCTTCTCTCTGGTTCTCGCTTGCTGGGTGACCTTGAGCGAGTCACTACCCCTTCCTGGGCACCAGTTATCCCTAAAGCTTTCGCCAACGCTAAAATTCTTAATTTTGCAGAAAAACTTAGGACTGGCCGGTCTCCTGGGGCCGCTCAGCCGAGGTGATCTGGAGTTGACTGAACCTTCTTTCTTCATTCATGGGTGGAATGAGTTGATCTATGTAATTGAGTCGCTTTTATTCTTTTAACGTTGGTTACAAATTGTATGACTCAAGATTCGCTCATGTTCTCAAAAATGGTCGTGGGATCCTTCTCCCAATTCCTGGACATCTCTTTTAAAAATTAGAGACAGGGTGGATGGTGAGCTTGTGGTATCAAGGTCTCTGATCAGGTTACGACTGAGGCTCTCTTTCCTTTGATCCAGATGGTGTGGTGGCTCGATTCTCCCAGTGCCTGGCTGAGTTACGGACGTGGTTAAGAACCAACTGGTTGAGGTTCAATGCAGACAAGACGGATGTGATGCTGGTAGGCAGGGGCACACTTGGAGATTAAGGGAGGGAAAATCCAAACTCCCTCAAGTACTGTCAGTATATTGTTCTTATATGTTCCCGTGTTGAGAACTGCTGATGGGCCAAAAATTTCGAGTTTGGGTGAAATAAAAATAACATGTCACCAGTTTAAGAGCTCTAAAAATATCAGTTGGTGATAGTCTGATAAAATAGGGCTACTGGGTAAAACTCTTTTATGTAAACATTATGAGAAGAAAAGCCTAAACTGTTCCTTGAAGAACCAAAAAGTGTGTCTTGGGCTGGCGTTAACAATAAAAATAAAACTAACATCCGGATGCTGATGCTGATTGTCGAATAGATGAGGGGCTTCCAAATGTAATGCATTACTGCTTTGTAACCTGCATCTTGCCTACTAAACAAAGTAAAGGTAAACTCTCAGCCTTTATCGAAAACGTCGTTTTTAAAAATAGGTGATTTTTTTTAAGGTATCTTCAACCAAATTAGTGATTATCCATAAATTTTTTACCTGCACATAATGTGTAGGCTGTCACTTTTAAACAAAAAATTTAGGAAATAATTACAAAATCTCAAAGGCACTCAGGGACTCTGAAAATTATTAGATATAGAATTTGTTTTTAGGGTCTTGAATATGTTGCATTAATCTGTTTCACTCAAACAGCCCCGGGGTCTAAGTTGTTACAAAATTTTTTTGGTGCATTTTGAGAGGTACCTTTTGAATTGCATAACAGTTTATACATATGGGTATATATTACTTATATTTGAATCAGGTATCAGTATTGAATAAAAGGTTGTATTTCTTAGGATATGTAAACTGCCAAAGAAGTTTACTTATTGGTTATTTTAAGGTATGGGGTGAAGTAAAATTGTGACCGTAAAATGCTTTTGTTAACAAAATAACTCTGAGTGGTTCTTGTGTATGTGTATTATAGCTTCTATAAAATTGTTTAATAACTTTTTAATGGAGCATTCAGTAAATTGCTTTAAAATAATTTTCCAATATAATAGCAGTTTTGAACAGCTTAATGTAGTAAAAGTTAATGTTAGTTTCCCTGAAAATAGGAATCCTTTAGGTGGGGAATGGGAGCTAAAGAGGCATTTATTCAGGCTTTGTATAGTGAAGTTTTTGTTTGTTTTGGGACATTAGCCACAAACCTCACATAAAATTGGAATTAACCACACTTTTTAGTTTAATTTTAAACATAATACTTCAATTAACAGAACGACCATTTTGAATATCACATTAATAAATACTGTAAACCATAATATTTTTACGCAACTCATAGATATTGGTGAGGTTTCTCATGCCTTTAACTCTGTCATGTCCTGTTTTCAGCTCTTCTAGTATCAGTAGACTTTCAGCATTTATTTTTTGTTAACCCAAGTATAAATATTGACTGTTTGCATTTGAATACAAAGAAGACATCTGTTGTATTAATCCAAAGTGCTGAAGAACTCAGAGTAACGGATGGAAGTAACAAGGAGGTAGATACTGGATTAATAAAAAGAATGTTCCAAAAATTAGAGTTTTATTTTTTTAAAGAGCAGCTTTTTCATGACACAGAGAGTCATTGGAGGTGTAGGCAGAAAAGCCTGGTAATGAGTGGGGAAACATAGTAAGGGATTCCTACCTAGATAGGGGAGAAATATACCAAAGGACCTCCTAGGTCCCATCCAACACAGATTCTATGGCTAACGAATACTTACTTTTTACATATTTGATATTGAAGAGGTAGGAAGAGTTTTGAAAAAGACTTTCCTTAAGGTGGCTCCTAAAATTTGTAAAGATATATCACTAGAATAAAATGGAAGTAGACTGTATTGAATATAGTAGTCACATGTTACTGATGACTTAAAATACTGGAGCTGTTTCTCTTTACTTTTGGAGTCTCTGAACCTAAAAAAAAAAAAAAAAATCTCTGAACCCACCTTTATAAAGACGGGAAGAAGAAAAATGTAGAGGGAATATTTTTCCTCTATACCATAATGCCACTTAAAATTAGTAAAAGTAATACATAGTATCAATAAACGTAGAGGTCACTTGTCAGTAAGATAGATACCCATTTAAGTATTTCTCAGACCTCGATTTTCCTGACAACTTCAGAATTCATTAAGTAGCTTAAGAGGCTGTGATCCCAAGCTTTTTATCAGTTGGGATTTTGTTGAGGTTTAACTGAAGAATCAAAGATTAAATGGGCCTACGCAAGCAAATTATTCCTGTACCTTGCATTTTTGACAATGCTTTAAAATTCTTTTGGTAACCAGCTACATAAATTTCATATATTAGCTTTCACATTTAAATGGAAAATCCTCCTTTATCATCATGGTATTATAAAGCCTGAGTTTCTACCTCAAGGCCCCTCATTATTTTTTGTCTTTACCCACCTAAAGTCTATGCATATCCACTGTTCTTTGCCTTTAGCTGTTTCCATCAAACATCTCAAAAGTGAAAATGATGTGACTATGAACTGACTTTAAAAAGCTATTTTTATTTTGAGTCCTAGGATTAAGGTAATTCAACAGGGTAGGTAACTTAGAAACTATATATCTATGCTAACATATTCCCTCCCCCAAGGAATCCTGAAAAACACTTTTATATAAGTATTCTAAAAAATACAATGAAAATACTGTACAATACAGTTAATGGTAAAAATTGTTTGTAGATTTGGGAACCTTAAAGTTTTCCTTTCTCTTCTTTCCCTTGCTTTTCTTTCAGTAGAAAATGTGCATCAGATGTTTATGTTTAATTGGTTTACAGACTGTCTATGGACTCTTTTCCTGTCAAATTACCAGGTAATGTCCTTTCACTTAGCAGCTACTTCATATACCTGTAAATGCACAAGTTATTATTGGACATAAGAATTTCAAGTTAATGTTGGCTCTTTAGAAATAGGAAACTGCTTACAGAGTCTACAATTTTAAGGGAATACAAATACCTTAAGAAAACAGCCTCCCCCATATTGCATTGTAAGTTAAGTATTAAATTTTTCTATGTGCAACTTTTTGCAATATATTGTAGCACTGGCATTACATTATTTGGAGGGAATGAGTAGTTTTCATATTTAACTGGTTGATTTTGGTAGCCATTTTAAAAATTGCATTGAAAGGAACCCTTGTACATTTGGGGGAGGGCGGGAAACTGTCTTTTTTGAAATAAGACTGTTAAACTCCTGGCTTAGTAAAATATGTTAATGTACTTTTTAATGTCACCTTTGCATTAGCTAATATGTGCCTAAATAATGGAAGTGAAACATGTTTGTATTTTGCAATCTTTTGGCTCTGGCCATCAGAGTTGGCATTAAGGCCCAAGGCAGTTAGTTCTAGGACGATACATCATAATAAACTTTTTAAATTGCAGGCATTTTGGGCATTGCAAATAAGCAAGTTCTCCCTCCATGCAGTTCAGTGAGGGATTATGTCCATCGAAGAGCAGCTTTTCAATATTTCACGTTTAAAATTTTTTTTCTCTAGTGCAAAATTCAATGGTTGCACACTTACAGTGTTACAGGCATCACAGCAGGTATGTGCAAAGCAAATGAGATAGGAAGATGGCAGACTCACCCGGTCCCTTCTCTTAATCTCTGCCCATACCGCTAAAATTGCGAGATGCTGAATTTTACGTTGCCCGTTGCGAATCAACCGAGAGAGGAATCTATTTGTCAGGGGAGAACTGCGTTAAAGCGCACTCCTTGCGGCTGTCGCATCACAGCAACACCCGTTTTCCAGCGAATGCACTTCAAAAACAGGGCTGCGTGTAAAATCTAACGGACCTTTCCCTGCGGTGTGGATGCCAGGCGCGCTTTGCACCCGTCCTGACTTCTGTAGTTGCTAGTCTCCTCCCG